GGCCGTCCATAAATGACGTCACGCACCTAGGGGGGGGTCAGATATTTGTGACGATGTATGACGAGGGGGAGGGGGGGGGTTTGAGAATTGTGACGTCACATCAAAATGCGCAACTTTAAATAAATATAGACAACACGTTCTATTTTATTAGACTTTTTAATAAATGTTTTCTCCTACAACATCAGAGTGCAGCGCCACATTAAATACGCACTACAATGACAATAGTTTAAAGCGATTTGAAGCATGTAAATTTTTTGGGGAGGGGGGGGAGGCAGAGCTTTGTGACGTCATATTTGAGGGGGGTGTGACTTTTTGTGACGCCGTGTGACGAGGGGGGGAGTAAAAAATCGTCCAAAATCGCGTGACGTCATTTATGGACGGCCCCTTATGAGAATCACACTTCAATTCACTGGTGAGTGAGATGAAACCACAATCGACGCGTCGCTAAATGCTTGTACCACACACCGTGACAATTTAATCTGTTTGGCTCTGCCGGGTGGCGGAGGTTTTTGACGACACAAATTTGGCCAGATCGTTATGTGGCCTAACCCAACAACTCAATTACGATCGTACTCAGATTGTAAATGTTGTGGCTTGGCTCTCCAGCACACCGGTGTGCTGTACCAGTGACGAATTGGCCACGTTGTTTACGTGACAACGCTTACTAGCTGTCTGTGTCGGGTGGTGGCGGGTTTAACGACACATTTATATATTTACGCGATCTAACCCAAAAAAAACCTCTCTAATATGAACTAAATTACGAGTCACATTAATGTAACAGCAACAACATTGATAACGATAATATGTTTCATGCGTGCCATTGCTCGAACACGTAAGTAGTAGTAGCAGCAATAATACTAATAATAATAATCACAAATCAATTTCAAATTCACACCACCCGAACGAACGGCTGTCACACAAGAGCATTGCCCCAGTCCCATTGCAATTCGCACATCGCATAAGCGGGTCACGCGCTACGCCGGGAGCCAATGGGAGAGGCGCGTTAACCGGCGCGGGCGCCTGTGCGCACTACGGAATGTAAAGGGGGTGCGGTGCGTTTGTGTGTGCGGTTCGCTTCCTGGACGTGCTTAAGTCGTTTTTTTTGTTGTTTTATTTTTCAAATTTGAATCGGCCCCGAGGTTTAAATCAACACAGTCAGCAAGCGGTCATCATCATCGTCGCCGTCGTCAACATCGTCGTCAACATCGTCGCAATTACGATTGTTGGTGTGTACAATTGACTTCCGTGATGGTGAGTTGAGCTCTGTGAGACGTGTAAGTAGTAGCAGCAGTAGCGGTCGTCATCATTATTGTTATTGTCAGATATAATAATCCAGAGTTATGTTGAGTCGCCGATTTGGTAAGCGGCGTGATGGCGGCTGCTTATGCTGCTGCTGTTTTCGTTTTTTTTAAAGAAAAAAAAATTGGAATCCAATCCCCGTCAACCTAGCTTACTACAGACCAATTCAAACCTCATCGCTAACCCCGTGCCCCACCTTTATAAATATCAACGTTCGTCCTACAAAGTCCCATCATCCACGAGGAGAGAAACACAAACAAATAGACAGTTTTATATTTTAGTTGTTGCGTGTATGAAACGGCTGTACGCCGTATGGAATCTAAAAACTAAACGTATCTGTACAAGAAATACGGTGTAGTAAACCGTCTTGTGTGGCCACCTTTGCTGTATCTATGTATGTCTATGTATCTCTGTGGGTCTCTGTCTATAATAATGTGCCAACCCCTTTATCAGTCGCGCCCTGCCTGATTACGGTCCAATTCAGACTTTACCGGTCACCACGTGGACCCTTTATAAACCTCCACGCGCATCACACAGAGTCAAAGTCCCCATAATCACAAGGGACGAACGCAACAATATTTAATATTTTTTTGTTGTTTATCGCCCGTATTGAAACTCAATGTCCCTGCGGAGGAAATAGGAGGCGGTGGTTAAAGAACCCTCCGCGTTTATGGGTTTACAGCTTTAGGATCGCGCTTTCACGTGAAACTGTACAAAGATTGCGGCTTTTTTTTAAATTAAAAAAAGCAAAGCTTTACGCGTACAGTGTAACAGCGGCACTGTACGCGCATACAGTAGAGCACAGTGCGTTTGGGACATTAATACAGTGCGCGCACTGTACTGCGTACTGTACACGCGCTTCGTACAGTGCGGTAGATGGTGGTGACCGGGTTAGTGCGCACGCGGAACGGAGGAAATCCGATGAGCTACAAAGCGCTTGGCTCATTGCATTGCAGCGCGCCACGGGAGCCGCCGTGCGCAGCGCGAACGATTTGTCACAGTGCGCACATGGGAATGCATCAAGTACACAATCACACGACATGTACACTATAACACGCAGTGTACACAATCACACGCAATGTACACAATTACACACAATGTACACAATCACACGCCATGTACACAATCACATACAGTGTACACAATAACACGCGGTGTACACAATCACACGACATGTACACAATCACACGCAGTGTACACAATCACACGCAATGTACACAATCACACGCAATGTACACAATTACACACAATATACACAATCACACGCCATGTACACAATCACATACCGTGTACACAATTACACACAATGTACACAATCACACGCAATGTACACAACACGCAATGTACACAACACGCAATGTACACAATAACACGCAGTGTACACAATCACACGCCATGTACACAATAACATGCAATGTACACAATAAAATGCAAGTACACAACCACACGCAATGTACACAATCACATGTAATGTACACAATCACATGCAATGTACACAATAATACGCAATGTACACAATCACACGCCATGTACGCAATCACACGCAATGTACACAATCACATGCAATGTACACAATCACATGCAATGTACACAATCACACGCAGTGTACACAATCACACGCCATGTACGCAATCACACGCAATGTACACAATCACACTCCATGTACGCAATCACACACAATGTACACAACACGTAGTGTACACAATCACACGCAATGTACACAATCACACGCAATGTACTCAATCACACGCAATGTACACAATCACACGCAGTGTACACAATCACACGCAATGTACACAATCACATGCAATGTACACAATCACACGCAGTGTACACAATCACACGCAGTGTACACAATCACATGCAAAAAAAACCCGCCACTTTTTTCAAATGTTCTTGCTGTGGTTTTCACACCTGATGATGATTGCTTGTGTTGCAGTCGAAACGTCGTGAGATTTTTTATAGTTTTTTATATTTTTATTATTTTATTGTTCCCCTTCTACGTGGTGACTCTACCGAAAGAACCAAGAATACAAATAAGACATGCTTTTTTGGGGCTGTCTCTGGTGTGGACCAATCAGATTCAAAGACAGTACACATTATCAGAGCATGTTACTGGTAGGAACGAAGTTGTAAACTGAGTGTACCAGCCTGCAATAGATTAATGTGTCCGTCCGTCCGTCCCCTTTCAATACTTTAACGAAGTGAAATCTCGTGCTGTTGGGGTGTAAAATCAGCAATAGACAGCACAGAGACTTGTCCTACCAGCCCACCCTGCAGGGACCTGTTTTTTTCTTTGCATGTTCACCGCAAGTACGCGTGGTTAATGCAGACAGGATTCCCTGTAAAAGGTTTTTGTTTGGTGTTTTTACATCTTAACATCTTAACTGTTTCATCGCCAGAAAGGGTTAAAACCTATTACTGGTAGGAACGAAGTTGTAAACTGAGTGTACCAGCCTGCAATAGATTAATGTGTCCGTCCGTCCCCTTTCAATACTTTAACGAAGTGAAATCTCGTGCTGTTGGGTGTAAAATCAGCAATAGACAGCGCAGAGACTTGACCAATGTTCCTACCAGCCCACCCTGCAGGGACCTGTTCTCATATTTTGGTACTGGCAAGAAAGGTCCCATAATGGCTGGTTATGGTGACCTCTATTGAATAGACTTGGATTTTATCCGGTAGATTTCCATGATAGTCAGCCGCTCTTCGTTATACCCCGTGTTGAAGTGAACGGAGTTTGCACAAATGTGGTAGCCGGTGAAGGCGACTTCAGCAAATACAACTTTGGCAGTGAACGCAGTTGACTTGAATCGAAAGAGTTCAATGAGAATGCAACGGAGTTCACTTTAACCACGCGCGTTTGCATTGCAGTGAATAGAGGTCGCCTTTGATCAATGGAAGCTCATGACAGTCATCGGATGTGTGCGTGAGTCAATGGGTTTCCGTGTTAGGCTAATGGGTCTCTATGGCAATCGTTGATGACTGGACTGAGGCCATCAACTCTCTCGACTCGCGTTCCCAGTTTAAAGCACGGCCGGTGCCGGCGATTCCACAATTGGTACTCGTAATCCTAAACGTTGCTGACCCTGCAATGATTTGACTCCCCGCATCACCTGGCCACCTAATCACTGGGCCTTTGTGTGCTCCTGCCATGGTTACTCGTCGCACGAGCTTCACTTCTCGCATGTTGAGGACTTTGTGTACCAGACGGACTGTTGTGTCTCACCCACACTGTTGTGTCTCACCCACACTGTGGTGTTTCACCCACCACACTGCAGGTCACAGGAACACACTCACCCACTCAGCTCGTCCACTCACCCACTCACTCACCCACTCAGTCACCCACTCACCCACTCACTCACTCACTCACCCACTCAGTCACCCACTCACTCACCCACTCACTCACCCACTCACCATTTGACTCGTCCACTCACCCACTCACCCACTCAACTCGTCCACTCACTCACCACCTCACCCACCCACTCACTAACCCACTCACTCACCCACTCACCTCACCCACTCAACTCGTTCCATTCACGTCACCCACTCACTCACCCACTCACCCACTCACTCACTCACTCACCCACTCAACTCGTCCACTCCTCACCACACTCACTCATCCACCCATCACTCACCCACTCAAACTCGTCCACTCACTCACCCACTCACTCACCCACTCAACCCGTCCACTCACTCATCCAAAAAATTCACACACTCAAAGATAAAGATCCCCTATATAGACTGAATATACTTTTGGAGCAAATGCTGTTAGCGAGCACCTATGAAGGCCAGCACGGCACATGAGGGGGTGGGTGGCCAGCAGCACCACGCCCGGCCGCCTTTGTCTCCCCAGTGGCGATGTTCACACACCGCACTAGGTACTCATTTGAGGCCGATTCGACTTAGGGGAGGCCCAGGACTGGTTCAGAAAATCATCGCTGGTCTTGGCCGTGAGCTGAATCGAACTCAGGTTGCCGGGTTGTAGCGCAGCGTGCTAACCGCTACACTACCGCTTCCCACTCCCATTCACACACTTCCGCCACCACCTCGCTCGTACACTGGCCACACGGCAGGTCACCACACTTTTCTCTCTGCTTCTTCCCTCGCACTGCTCGCTCCCATTGTCCGTATTCCCAAGCTCTTAAAATAAACACCTTGCTCAGTTCAAGAAAATGACATCATCCTTATCTATTACACCTTAAAAAGTGCGGTTTGTTGCTGACCACTTGGCGCTTCGCGCCTGATGATGATTACGAATGTTTTTCAGTTGCTGCCTACCGTCAACTTGCGTTGGCCTCGCTGTAGATGACGCAGAAGCGATCGGACGTCTGGGCCATCGAAACCCAACGCAGCGCGGTGAGGAAGGTGAGGCTTTGTGCGATGAGATGCGGTTATTATTGCTTTCCAAGTCGGGTTGAGAGCATTTTTGCCTTAAGCTCTGTACCCGTGGTCATCCGTGATAGCGAGGGCATGATGTTTAAATTTGAATAGAACTTTGGTGTAAACTCGCATTGCTTTTGCGTAAAGATTCGTCACGAAATTGAGGAAAGGGTCATCCAAAACCTTCAGATAAAAACCAGCGCGTCAAGGACCCGCCTCGGCCTCCCATAGAGACCCACAGGCTCGCACAGACACCCACAGACTCGCACAAAGGCCCACAGACTCGCACAAAGACCCACTGGCGTGCACAGACACCCACAGACTCGTACAGAAATCCACAGACACGCACGGAGACCCACCGATGCGTACAGAGACCCACAGACTTGCACGGAGATCCGCAGACTCGCACAAAGACCCACTGACGTGCACAGAGACCCACAGACTCGCACAGACACCCACAGACTCGCACAGACACCCACAGACTCGCACAAAGACCCACTGACGTGCACAGAGACCCACAGACTCATACAGAAATCCACAGACATGCACGGAGACCCACCGATGCGCACAGAGACCCACAGACTCACATGGAGACCCACAGACTTGCACGGTGACCCGCAGATTTGCACGGTGACCCACCGACTCGCACAGAGACCCACAGACTTGCACGGTGACCCACAGACTCGCACAGAGCTCAACAGACTCGCACAGAGCTCAACAGACTCGCATGGAGACCCGCAGATTTGCACGGTGACCCACCGACTCGCACAGAGAGCCACAGACTCGCATATACCCAAAACTGAGTTGTGATTAAACCAAGTTCTCAAATGTAGTTGATATAATCTCAGCTTGGTCACCCATCAATGCAAGAACAAAAAACACCATCACATTTTATTTATCTTTGCGCTAAATTTGACTCACGTTTCAGTTCTGAGATTTAAAAAAAATCTATCTTTGACTGCCCACTCGGCGAACGTTTCAACCCAGCTACCATTGACTGCTCCCCTCCCGTGGAAATCTGTTTGAATCAATGAATCGTCACATCCCAGCCTCTTATGTTTACACATTAGGAGGTTCTCGGAGCAGCTATTGGCTCACCATCAAACAAAGACGGTCGCAGCATCGCGCGCTTTCGGATGCGCTTCTGCGGCCGTCTGGAACGCTCTTCCTTCAGATATTAGGAAGCCACTGGAGCTACGGCCTTTTAAATCGAGGTTGAAAACGAATTTCTTTAGAACTGCTTTTTTTTTAGTTTAGTTTGTTGTCCTTCCCATCCCGCACCTCCGATTAGCACGGTTGGCTACGTACGGTGCGAAAGAAGTTCAACGTACACACACACAACAGTTCTGGTTTGAATGAAAGCCAACGGTGACCGGGGTGCGCTTGAGAACCCGGGATTAATCACCGCCCGGTCTTCGGCGATTGCTTTAAAAAAAAAAGTTTTCTCTCGTTGTTTGCGACGCGGCGCAGGGAGGCGGGAGGCCCGGCGGTGGCGCGCGACGGTAACGCCTCAGCGGCCCAGGCGAGCGGCAGGCTCGAGGCCCCGGGCGCCACGGCGACGCAGATGGCGCCGTGGAACATGACCGGGGTGGCAGTCTTGACCCCTGCCCCCGGCACGCGGGGGGGGCGGCGACGGGGGTGGCACCATCGCCCCCTCTTCCTCATCTTCCTCCACCCTCGGATTCATCCTCCTCCCGTTCGGTCTCGTCGCCATCATTGGGGTCGCCATCATCATGGTAACCGGGGCCCCTCGTTGAAGAATCTGAATTTTCGGAATATTTATTACTACTGCAGGAGGAATCCGATGAGCTGTGAAGCTCTTTTTGACAGATGTCCAGTCGGGGCACGGGGTCAGAACGGTTACAACAGCAAACAATAAACAAAACACGATAGGGGTGCAAAGTATAGGAAAGGCAAACAAATCGCTTTAAAAAAATATCCAAAATAAAACCAATAAAACCATTTTTTTTATCTTACCAGGTAAAATCCCACTGAGCTTTTTCAGATGCGACCTGGCCACAAATAATAGGTCAACTAAGTGGCTTATTACGTGGATATTTATAGCAGCCAAATACTCTAAAAGCACGTTGATTCTAAATGTGGAGGGAAAAAGCGAAGGACCCGGAGACAAATCCACGCGTCCACGGGGAGAGAGACACGCAAACTCCAAATATACAGCAGCAGGTGTCAGGGTCGGGATCGAACCCACGACCTCCTGTATACCAGGCGAGGTAGTTAACATCTCCTAGCCACCGTGATGATGATGAGAGAGACACGCACACTCCAAATATACAGCAGCAGGCGTCAGGGTCGGGATTGAACCCACGACCTCCTGTACACCAGGCGAGGTAGTCAACATCTAGCCACCGTGATGATGATGATGAGAGAGAGACACGCAAACTCCAAATATAAAACAGGGTCGGGATCGAACCCACGACCTCCTGTATACTAGGCGAGGTAGTTAACATCTCCTAGCCACCGTGATGATGATGAGAGAGAGACACGCAAACTCCAAATGTACAGCAGCAGCAGGCGTCAGGGTCGGGATCGAACCCACGACCTCCTGTACACCAGGCGAGGTAGTTAACATCTCCTAGCCACCGTGGCGACCTTTGGTGGGAGGCAACTGGGTAGCTCGTGAATCGGACGCGGGTTTTTTAAAAACATTTTTATCCCTGATTGTGCCTGGTCGCGTCCCTGGGACGAAGAATCCGTTGGGAAATGTCACAGTCACCACTTCGTTGTTGTCGGAGAATGACCCTTGGAAGCGATAATAATCGCAGCGCTACCTCTTGAGAGGCCCCTTCAAGTGACCTCTGGGTCTACACTGGAGAGGGTGGGGGAGGGGGGCAGCACTCCCTCCACCTGCTCTGTTGTGGAGGGAAATATCATCAACCTGATGGTACTCAGTCAAGGCTGAGTTGGCCGAGCAGAAGTGCACAGGATCGGTTCACATATTGGTCACCGGTGTTCCACGTGAGCGGGAATTGGCTTCGGATTTCCTGGTTTTGTAGCGTAGAGCAGGGGTCTCCAACCCCCGCTGTTAGGGACCGGGCCGCACAGCAGCAGGAGGTGAGAGCGGTGAGTCCGCACGTGGCCCACCCCCATTGTTTTATTATTCACCACTCCCGTCCACGCCTCTTTCCCGCACTGCGTAGCACTTCTTTGAAAAGGGGGAAAGACCCATTGATGAACCCCCTCCCCCCCCCCGGCCCGTGAAAGAATTGTCTTCCACGAAATCGGTCCCTAGTACCAAAAAGTTTGGGGAGCGCTGGCGTAGAGCGCTACGCTACGCACCTCCGATCAGCACGGTTGGCTACGTACGGTGTGAAAGAAGTTCAGCGTACATACATGCATACGCTTACACCGATGTACAGACGCTCGCGCACGTGCTGATGGTGGTGAGCCTGAGCAATGCATTAATTTCTCTCTCCGCCTCTGTCCCTCGGTCTCTCTTGGTCTCAACGTTCACCGCTGTCCCCAGGCGATGTACATCCGCAAAAGGAAGCGGTGAGTGACTTTGATAATAATCACCATATTCTCCACGTTTACGACGCTTCAGATATAAAGTTACAAACAAGGTAATTCAAAATGCTGGTCTCTGTAACAAAGGCAAAGATCCCTCCGTATAGCTTATAACCTATGAAGGCCGGAACGGCACACGAGGCGGTGGGTGGCCAGCACCACGCCTGAGCGCCTTTGTCTCCCCAGTAGCGATGTTCACACACCGCACCAGGTACTCATTTGAGGCTGAGTCGACCTGCGGGAGGCCCAGGACCGGTTCAGATAATCGTCAGCGGTGTTGTCCGTGAGCGGGAATTGATCCCAGGTATCCGGGTATCCAGGTTCGATATGCGGTGCGCTAACCACTGCGTCACCGCTCCCTACAATATTTATGCATACACAGACATGCGCATACACACACAAACACAGCTTCACCTCATTTTACCCCTAACTGGGAGCGGCACCCTAACCCTCCCCCCACAACTGTGCCCCTCTCGCCCCCCCCCCCTCAATAACCACCCCCCCCCCACCCCCATGCCCCCCCCCCGCAGGCTGGAGAAGTTGCGTCACCAGCTGATGCCCATGTACAACTTTGACCCGAGCGAGGACCAGGACGAGCTGGAGCAGGAGCTGCTGGACCCCAGCGGAGACGGTCCCCTCGCCGGCAAGGTGAGGGTGCTGCCGGCGGCGGTCCCGTGCTACCGGCACCACGGCACCGCCACCGGACGGCTGCGGCGCATCCAGCGCAGCAACACGACAGGCAGCACAGCAATAGCACTTGGCCCAGCAGTCTGGCTGTACTACACGGGGGATCTTTGTCTTTATCTGTGCACTTGCAGGGTCCCGGCGCGACACAGAGCACCGTGCAGAGGCCGAGCCGCCTGGTGTTCACCGACGTTGCCACAGCCGCCATGAACGCTTAACGTCACCCCCCACAACGCCCCCCCCCCCCCCTTGCCTCTGTGCCCCCCCACTCCTCCGGCCCCCCACGCCGGGTTCAAGGGTCAAGGTTAAGGGTTGTAGGGCGAGTGGTGCGGAGTCTGGGTGGTCGGCGGAGTTGCAACTGTGAGCGCGGAGAGGGAGGAGAGTGGAACAAACGCTCAGCGACGAAGGTTGATGGTCGACCTTTGAAACACCGATGGGGCGATGCCAATTACCCATAATTCTCCTGGTCTCCTCCTGCTGATCGCCTCCCCCTCCCTTCCCCTCTGAGTCGTCACTCTGGCAAGAAAAAGGTCACACATGCAAAGCCTTGTGGGTAAGGCCTAAGCGTCCGAGCGGCTGCCACCCACTCCCCCTACCTGCCTGTCCCAGAGAGATTGGTGTTAAAACTTCCTCCCACAATGCACTGCTCCGCGTAAGCACATTGGAGTGGAATGTTATCGTTGCATCTCGCATCAGCTCGTCTTACCGCACATCTTACCCATTCCACTTGTGAGAGAGTGCCGTCTTTCGCTGGCCGTACGGCGTGTCGGGTCTCTGGGGTTTTGTGCGAAACAACCGTGACAAAAACAAAACAGAACATTTTCAAGAAAACTGCACAACGTAATTGCAACCAATCCGCGCGGCTATCGTGCTCTCAAGCCGTTGCACACGTGAGCAATTCAGTTGCCTGCAACTTGGCTGCGTGCGGCTGCATTGCTTACGTGCGGATGTCTGTGCAACCAGGTTGCGAAGCCGGCTGCTGCACCAAAATATCGGCTCCAGCTGACGGTGGAGCGATGCAAACTTTAAATTTACGTAAAATTAAACAAGTCGAGGGGGGAAAAAAAAGCCATGCATGCTCATGGATTCTGCAAATAATCATTTTGGTTCGAGTGTGCACATTTGTTTGGGCAGCCGTTGCATCGACTTGGCTGGTTTTCTCTCGGGTAAGGCCCTTATAGAGTTGGTGGTCTGAATTACTCGCATTGAGACCCATAGACTCGATGCGAGTCATTCAGACCACCAACTCTATGGGTCTCTTGTGTGAGACCCATAGACTCGCACAGAGACCCATAGACTCGCATAGACCGAGACGTAATCAATCGGGTTCTCAATTGCATTGAGTTGATGGTCTCAGCCCAGTCACCAATGTCTGCACACAAACGAATCCTTTTAACTTTGAAGTAAGTTTCCGTAGACAGTGCCATGGTCTGTAGAAGATCATTGTAAGTTTGGATTTTATTTTATTTGACGCCCCCCAAAAAAAAAACCAACACCTTCCTGTTCTGAGAATGAAAAATGTCAGTTTTGGTTTAATTGAACGCTCTTCGCAGGGCACGTGATAGGCGCGTAGCGCCCCTAGCGTGGGCCGAGAGGTCTTCTGTGGCGACCTCAGAAGTCGTACCTTGGCGTCGTCTTCCACAGCAAGGCCGCTGAAACTCCCCGATGGAAATTCCCTTCGCGTCGACAGGAAACGCTCGGGTGTGCGAACATCCGCTAAAGACGAACCGGTCTCGTCACCGTGCGCTCGAGTGCTACCGCACGGAGGTGTGGGGGGCGGGGCTCGTGCGGGGAACTGGGCCCGGGGGCCTTCCGCGTGGCGGTCGGACGTGCGACGTGCGACGTGCGACGTGCGGTTACCAGAGGAGGGCTGGAGAAACGGAGTTGAGTTTGAAAAGCGGCCGCTCCGTACAGCGGAGGTGGGGGGGGGGGGGCGGTCGTTGCGTCTTGACGTTTGGTGCGTGCGGTGGCGCCGGAGCGATACGTGCAGCTGTGGTCCAGACACTGCTTTTTCAGGGCATTTACACGAAGCGCGTGCGTCTGTGTGCGGTATTTATATGCAAATGTACAAGCAATGTTGGCCTGTCTTAAATTTTCGGCTTTTGTGTTTTAGTTTTTACTTTATTTATGTACTAGGGTTGCTGCTGCTGCTGCTGCTGCATCGGTGGTGTCACCGTTAGCAGTGCGTTACTCGACTTGCGATCCAGAGGTCCGCCGGTTCGATTCCATCTCCCGGCTCGGCAGTTGAAACAATGGGGGGGAGGGGGGGGCGGGGGGGGTTGGCGAGTTTCTTCAACCCCCCACCCCCCGCTCCCCCACGGCCACCGCCGCCTCTGTCCACTCAACAGCTGAGATGGGCTCACCGGATTCGGCCGTCGGTCGCGTGCGGCGGTGGGGTAAAGTGTGGGTACCGCCACATCCTCCCACGTCGTCCGTCCAGCGCGGCAGTGTTGGCGACAAGTAACGCCTCCTGAGAGTCCGCTCGCTGTCGCAGGCCTCCAGCCCTTCCCACCGGCCGGTGAGTGGGGGCGCAAACAAGCACTTGCGGGGCTGCCCCTTAACCTTCTGTATATGATGTCTGTTTTTATGCTATTTATGGGCAAGGATTTAGAACTTGTTGCTTTTCCGGGACAGGTGTCCCTCTACCATTTGAGTGTCGGTGTTATTTATGGTTTTGTTTTCTACTTGAGCGGTCTCTTTGCACTGGCGGAAGGAGCGGCAAAGCGGGGACCGCGCGGACCCCGTCCCTCGAGGACCCCGTCCCTCCAGGACCCCGTCCCTCCAGGACCCCGTCCCTCCAGGACCCCGTCCCTCGAGGACCCCGTCCCTCGAGGACCCCGTCCCTCCAGGACCCCGTCCCTCCAGGACCCCGTCCCTCGAGGACCCCGTCCCTCCAGGACCCCGTCCATCGAGGACCCCGTCCCTCGAGGACCCCGTCCCTCGAGGACCCCGTCCCTCGTGGACCCCGTCCCTCCAGGACCCCGTCCCTCGAGGACCCCGTCCCTCGTGGACCCCGTCCCTCGTGGACCCCGTCCCTCGAGGACCCCGTCCCGCCAGGACCCCCGTCCCTCGTGGACCCCGTCCCTCGAGGACCCCGTCCCGCCAGGACCCCGTCCCTCGAGGACCCCGTCCCTCGAGGACCCCGTCCCTCGAGGACCCCGTCCCTCGAGGACCCCGTCCCTCGTGGACCCCGTCCCTCGAGGACCCCGTCCCGCCAGGACCCCGTCCCTCGTGGACCCCGTCCCGTGAGGACCCCGTCCCTCGAGGACCCCGTCCCTCGTGGACCCCGTCCCGTGAGGACCCCGTCCCTCGAGGACCCCGTCCCTCCAGGACCCCGTCCCTCGAGGACCCCGTCCCTCGTGGACCCCGTCCCTCCAGGACCCCGTCCCTCGAGGACCCCATCCCTCGAGGACCCCGTCCCTCCAGGACCCCGTCCCTCGTGGACCCCGTCCCTCGAGGACCCCGTCCCTCCAGGACCCCGTCCCTCGAGGACCCCGTCCCTCCAGGACCCCGTCCCTCGAGGACCCCGTCCCTCGTAGACCCCGTCCCTCCAGGACCCCGTCCCTCCAGGACCCCGTCCCTCGTGGACCCCGTCCCTCGAGGACCCCGTCCCTCGAGGACCCCGTCCCTCCAGGACCCCGTCCCTCCAGGACCCCGTCCCTCGAGGACCCCGTCCGTCGAGGACCCCGTCCATCGAGGACCCCGTCCCTCCAGGACCCCGTCCCTCGAGGACCCCGTCCCTCGAGGACCCCGTCCCTCCAGGACCCCGTCCATCGAGGACCCCGTCCCTCGAGGACCCCGTCCCTCGAGGACCCCGTCCCTCGTGGACCCCGTCCCTCCAGGACCCCGTCCCTCGAGGACCCCGTCCCTCGTGGACCCCGTCCCTCGTGGACCCCGTCCCTCGAGGACCCCGTCCCGCCAGGACCCCGTCCCTCGTGGACCCCGTCCCTCGAGGACCCCGTCCCGCCAGGACCCCGTCCCTCGAGGACCCCGTCCCTCGAGGACCCCGTCCCTCGAGGACCCCGTCCCTCGAGGACCCCGTCCCTCGTGGACCCCGTCCCTCGAGGACCCCGTCCCGCCAGGACCCCGTCCCTCGTGGACCCCGTCCCGTGAGGACCCCGTCCCTCGAGGACCCCGTCCCTCGTGGACCCCGTCCCGTGAGGACCCCGTCCCTCGAGGACCCCGTCCCTCCAGGACCCCGTCCCTCGAGGACCCCGTCCCTCGTGGACCCCGTCCCTCCAGGACCCCGTCCCTCGAGGACCCCATCCCTCGAGGACCCCGTCCCTCCAGGACCCCGTCCCTCGTGGACCCCGTCCCTCGAGGACCCCGTCCCTCCAGGACCCCGTCCCTCGAGGACCCCGTCCCTCCAGGACCCCGTCCCTCGAGGACCCCGTCCCTCGTAGACCCCGTCCCTCCAGGACCCCGTCCCTCCAGGACCCCCGTCCCTCGTGGACCCCGTCCCTCGAGGACCCCGTCCCTCGAGGACCCCGTCCCTCCAGGACCCCGTCCCTCCAGGACCCCGTCCCTCGAGGACCCCGTCCGTCGAGGACCCCGTCCATCGAGGACCCCGTCCCTCGTAGACCCCGTCCCTCGTGGACCCCGTCCCTCCAGGACCCCGTCCCTCCAGGACCCCGTCCCGTGAGGACCCCGTCCCGTGAGGACCCCGTCCCGTGAGGACCCCGTCCCTCGTGGACCCCGTCCCGTGAGGACCCCGTCCCTCGAGGACCCCGTCCCTCGAGGACCCCGTCCCTCGAGGACCCCGTCCCTCGTGGACCCCGTCCCGTGAGGACCCTGTCCCGTGAGGACCCTGTCCCTCCAGGACCCTGTCCCTCCAGGACCCCGTCCCTCGTGGACCCCGTCCCTCGTGGACCCCGTCCCTCCAGGACCCCGTCCCTCGTGGACCCCGTCCCTCGTGGACCCCGTCCCTCGTGGACCCCGTCCCTCCAGGACCCCGTCCCTCGAGGACCCCGTCCCTCGTGCACCCCGTCCCTCGAGGACCCCGTCCCTCGTGCACCCCGTCCCTCGAGGACCCCGTCCCGCGCCGGGCCTTGTGGGCGCTATTCCCCTTTGCCATCGCACGCACGGCCGGGGATGGGTTTTCTCCCGAGTTCAGAGGCTCCTCCTGAACAGTGCCGCGGTTCAACCGCTGGCACAACCCGAGCCCGCGCGGGGCCAGCCTGGCACGGCTCGGCTGGCACGGCTCGGCTGGCACCAGGTTTTTTTTTCTTTCTCTCCCACTGCAGAAACGGAGCCTTGAAGAAACCCTCTTGCCCAGCAGTAGCATGAGCAGGGCGGTCCATACAGGTGGTGGGGGGGGGGGGTGCAGGTCCTGGTGGGCAACTCACAATGTGGGCCCCCCACCCCCCGATGCCTTCAAACTAAACCGGAAGTATTATATCTTGATAATGTGGTGTCGAAGCATGGGGGGGGGGGGGCGGGGCGACCCCTCCCCTCCCATAAGCGCATGGCCCGGGGCGGTGGATTGTCAACTCTCATAGGCCTTGGTCGGATATTTCACGGGAGGTGGGGGGGAGGGATTCTACCAGCGGGTGCATGCGGTTGAAATGTTCACTCGTTTTTCCCCGGGGCGTTCAACAAATTAGCAAAACGGAGTTCTTCTGGGGTTAGGGGGTAGGTCGCAGTCACGCTTTGTGTTTCCGCCTGAATCGTGTCGATTTTTTTTAATTCTTTCCACCAGGGGCGGAGCCAGGATTTTTGACTTTGGGGGGGCTGACTTCAATATTCTGAGATATCTCAGTGTGTTTATGTTTTCCAATGGGCACCACAAATGTATAAAACAAATTTTATTGGATTTGAACGCGGAGTTTATTAATAGGTCGGAGCCGCTGATGTGGCTAATAAGTTCGATAAGTTCAAGCAGCCTGCAGGGCAGCACAAGGTGGCAGCCTGCAGGGCAGCACAAGGTGGCAGCCTGCAGGGCAGCACACAAGGTGGCAGCCTGCAGCATTTTGCAGCAGCCGGATATCCGGTTATCCCGATTACCGACTTTCCAAAATTTCAGGGGGGGCTAAGCCCCCCCCACAGCCCCCCCTGTGGCTCCACCCCTGCTTTCCACTGAACTACCGAGCTGCACCGGAGCCGTGCCGGGCAGTGCCAGGCGTTGGCCCGCGATGCGCCGCGTTGTGGTTTCTTTTCCACCGCACAACCGAGCGACAAAACGACACGAACTCTCTCCCGGAGCCCTCTCGTCGTGGACGAGCAGACATTGGCATTTAGCTCCTGAACAACGTTGCCTCCATACGCAAGAGTCGTTGAGTTAGGTGCAACGTGGAAGGAGTAATGTACCGAGCGTCTGAAGAATAAAAAAAAAAACGGAGATGAGAGTGAAAACGAACAAAATAAAAAGTCGGAAACGTGGCGATGACGTCACACGCAGTGAGCTCGTCGTTAGCTCCACTCCCTGGCCCTGCTTGGCCCTATCCCCTCTCCCCCCCAACCCGAGGCAGATGCAGACGTCTCCGTGTGAGGCTTTTAGCAGCAGCGGATCGTCACGCCTTGGTTGCGGCTCGCCTCGGCGAATAGTCGCAGTGGGAAAAACGCAACACCTGTTACCGCCCGGGGCCCCGCGATGGCTCGGCTCGGATTTGGCAGTGGAAAAAAAAAACGGGGGCGTTCTTGTATTGCCTGTAGGACAGCCCCGGGCGGGGGTTGTCGCGGCCTGTTTCGCCTCACTTGTGTGTGTGTGTGTTTGTTTTTTGGTTTGGTCCCGATTTGCGTGGAAGTGTCTTTTAGAGCGCGCGTCGTCCACATCACCGTTGTTTCTAAGTGGTTCACCGTCAAAGGAGAGAAAGAGAGAAATAAAGACGGCGGAGAAGTCGCACACGAGGAGGATGGGGTGGTCTGCTTCTGTGGTGTTGGTAAGGGTGGTCTGCTTCTGTGGTGTTGGTAAGCGTGTGCCGAGGTTTTAATGTTTTAATTGGTGAGCACAGGTCTGAAGTCAACCGAAATGTCACGTGGCCATAAAAAAAAACCACAGTGCCGTCAAAGTTGTGATCGATGAGAGTTTCTTGAATTGAGCAAGGTTAATGTGAGAGCTTTGGATGGAAGACGATGATGTTGATGAT